CCCTGCGGGGCGCGGCGGGGCGCGGCGGGGAGCGGCGCGGTGAGGCAGGGTGGGATCGCACATCGCACAACGCCGCGGGCGCCGCAGGTGCCGGCACCCGAACGCCGCCGCACCGCGGGATGAAGAGAGAGAGAGAGAGCGCGCTGAAGTTCCGACGTTATATATACCCACCCTGACCTTTCATCGGGTCGGATGCCAAAAGCTGGCCGCGGGGCGCAGATGTCGTGCGCCCGCCTCGCATCCACGCGGGGGAATAGTAAGCTCATTGTCAACCGGGGGCGCCTGGCGCCTACGCCACACGCCCGCCCGCCAGGCCACCCTGCTGCCGCCCCCGACCGCACCCGTGGTCGTGGTGCTACGCAGGCCGACGCTCGCAGGCACACGGGCTCGCACGGGCTCTCACAAATCGCCCTTGAGAGTTTAAGGTCTTGGGCGTTGGACGCCAACACTGTTACTGTTGTGACAAGGGAGTCACGAAAAGTGTAACCACAAAAACAACCTTCAAAAAGCAGACTTACACAGTTTGAAAACCATGCATTTTTTTTTCTCCTCTTGGCCCGCCTGGCCTCATTCCTACCCCCTCGAGCGCCTTTAACGGCTTCGCGCATGAAAATGTAACAGTATGCTGTCGCTCCGTCAGACGCGGGAGGGGCAGGGGCGGACAGTGGGGAAAGGGGAGGAGTGGAGGCTATTATCAGAGCCGGTGCGAGCCGGTCCACTACCGCCGCGACGCGGGCGCGTCTCGGCCCCCGACCGGCCCCCACCCCACTCCCCCACCGAGCCTCAGCCCGCGCAAAAACCACTTGTAGCTGCGCGCCGCACCCTCCCAATCCCACCGCCCAACACCCCCTTCACCACAGACCACCCCGCACCACCTGCTAAAGGGACTTCGATTTTCCGGAAAAGTGTTTTTGGCAATTTTTTCTGTAATATCTTCATTTACTCCTGGGAAGTATAATTTTTTCCCAGTTTTTACTGGATATATTTTCCGGTCTTTTTCTGGAAAAACTTGAGACTTTAAAATATTCCTAACCCGCGCACGCGGCTCTTCAACGGACCCAAACGGCGCGAGCAAAAAAAGAATAATACACCTAATGCTAATCAAAGTCATTAGACGATGAAAGAAAAGAGCAAGAAGAAATGAAGAAGAAGAGGAAGATCGGAAAGCAATCGCGCGGCCGGGCTGGCGAGTGCGATGCCGTGATAGCGGGGAGCGGCCGCGTGGCGGCGGCGGCGGCGGCCTGAACCGCGAGGCACTGACACCCACGTGCGACCACCACGGACCACAGAGTCAACTCGACCCGCCCGAACAGCAGCCAGATTATCCGACCCCGTCTCAGATTCCACCTATCCGGGCTGATTCCCCCCC